TTATCTCGCGGAGTAGCGCCAAGTGACATTGGTAAAGTAGATTTGTGGTGGCACGGACCAGCATGGCTCAAAACAATGCAATGGCCTAAACAACAAGAAAAAAAAGAGTTGAGATCAGAATTACCAGATGTAAAGGGTGTTGTTAAAAGCTTTCTCTCACAGACAAAATTAAATTTTCCTTTTGATAAATTTTCAAAATTGACGACTCTAAAGAGAGTAGTAGCTTGGATTTTACGGTTCAATAATAATGTACGTGCGCGTATTACCGGTGAGGGTACGCAATTACATGGTGATTTGACTATTGAAGAAACTGAAAATGCATTTGAGCGTCTGATTAAGATTGCTCAAACCAATTCCTTTTTTAATGAAATACATAAATTGTCAAAAGGCGAAAACTTACACTGTAAGAGTCGAATTTTATCTCTTAATCCGTTTTTGGACCAAAATGGTTTGTTGCGTGTGGGTGGGCGTCTTGTCAATTCAACTTGGTCCGAGGATAAAAAACATCCAATTATTTTGTGCGCAAAACATTTAATGTCAGTATTAATATTTAGGCATGAACAGTGTCATTGAACACATAAGGTTGTTGCACTGTGGTCCTCAACAATTACTAGCTTCGGTTCGTGATAGATTCTGGCCTGTGTTGGGTCGAAATCTAGCGAAATCTACTGTGAGGGGGTGTGTGCGATGTTTTTAAATAAATCCATCTACTATACAACCAATAATGGGACAATTACCAGCTACGCGGCTTCAGCCTGGTCCTCCATTTAATATTACGAGTTAAGACTATGCTGGGCCTTTGTTAATCAAGGATAGAAGGGGTAGAGGAGGAAAAATATCAAAGTGTTACATTGGACTGTTTGTTTGCTTCGCCACAAAGGCAGTCCATCTTGAGTTAATTTCGGACTTGACTAAGGATAGTTTCTTATTGTGTTTAAGTCGATTTGTGTCGCGTCGCGGAATTCCATCCAAAATATTTTCCGACAATGGTAAAAATTTTTGTGCTGCACGAACAGAATTGAAAAGAATCGAAAGTTTTCTAACAAAGAACGAATCACACATTTATGAATTGAAACATAAACAATCTCCATTATTCGAGCTAAACTGGTAAAACCCCTTAAAGGATTTGTTTTGGGGGTTGCCTAGATTCGATTTTTTCAGATTTGATCCCAGTTCATTTTTTGTGTTGCACAGTGTAATTTTTCTCAATTTTATTATTTTTTAAAATTTATATTAAAATAATTTGTTATTAAGTACAATTAGTGCTTACTTTAAGCATTTTAGTTAATTGCTCTAAATTATTTTCCAAACACAATTTTTATTATTTTTAAATTTATATTAAAAGGTCTTTAAGCACTTTTGTTAATTGTTTTAAATTATTTCCAATACTTTATTTTACTAAATTTTTTTTTATTTTTCCGATAATTTTGTATTTTCTACAATTTTTATTATTTTTTAAATTTATATTAAAATATTTTGTTTTTAAGTACAATTAGTGCTTACTTTAAGCATTTTAGTTAATTGCTCTAAATTATTTTCGAAACACAATTTTTATTACTTTTAAATTTATATTAAAAGGTCTTTAAGCACTTTTGTTAATTGTTTTAAATTATTTCCAATACTTTATATTATGCCACAATTTTTATTATTTTTTAAATTTATATTAAAATGTCTTAAAGCATTTTTGTTAATTGTTTTAAATTATTTCCAATAATTTTCTTAATTTTATTATTTTTTAAAATTTATATTAAAATATTTTGTTTTTAAGTACAATTAGTGATTACTTTAAGCATTTTAAGTTAATTGCTCTAAATTATTTTCCCATAATATATATATATATATATATATATATATATATATATATATATTAGGGTGCTTCAAAAAAATGTTTTTTTCGCTCTTACCCTCTCAAATGTTTTTATTTAATATAAAAAAATCCTCACCAAATATGGGCGTTCCAGCTCAACTCTAAGAGGTCGCTGTTTTTATTTTAGTTTCCCATTGAATTAACATGGGAAAAAATTAATTTATGTTTGGAATTTTATACCTCTGTATCAAAGTAACTTATGGCAATGATCATTGCAGTTTCTTATATAAAATTTAACGCTCTACAAAAAAGGTCTCTTATTATTTTTCGATAAATTGATTTCTTCTAGAGTTATTCGAGGTCAAAGTTTGATTAACATCAAATTTTCTGGTACAATTAGCAGATGGGAGGTGAAAGGGGGAAAACTTTGACCTCGAATAACTCTAGAAGAAATCAATTTATCGAAAAATAATAAGAAACCTTTTTTTAGAGCGTTAAATTTTATATAAGAAACTGCAATGATCATTGCCATAAGTTACTTTGATACAGAGGTATAAAATTCCAAACATAAATTAATTTTTTCCCATGTTAATTCAATGGGAAACTAAAATAAAAACAGCGACCTCTTAGAGTTGGGCTGGAACCCCCATATTTGGTGAGGATTTTTTTATATTAAATAAAAACATTTGAGAGGGTAAGAGCGAAAAAAATTTTTTTTTGAAGCATCCTAATATATACAGGGTGTCCCAGAACTCGCGCCACAGAGAAAAAGGGGGCGTGCCGCCAGAAATGGAGATGCCAAATTTAAAAATAAAAAATTTCTAGGTAATACTGTAAGCGAATTAAAGCAAAAAAGTGGCAGCCAATACCGAGAGCTCTTGCCTAGATTAAACGTAGGGGATTTAGGAGACGATAGAACATTGTTGTCTTAAAACTTTTAAAAATCTTTTGGCCGACTGTATTTACTAAGTTGTCAAAAGCTGTCAAAAATGACTGATACCTCAGAACGACAATGTTTTAAAGTAAAAAATCAAACAAGTTGTAATTTTGTAGGCTTTTTTTGTTAAAATTTTAGAAAAAGTCATAAGTTACAGAAACAAATAAACAAACTTTTAAAAAATTACAAAAACTATAAATTTCCGTAAAAGTAAACAAACAACATTAAGTAAAACTAAATTAAATATTATGAAAATGTGTTAACAACTAAATAAAAAAAATATGCTAATCTGTTTACAATAAGTGCTCAAAGTGTGTTCCATTCATTTGTAAATAAATCCGCGCTCTTCTTAAAAGGCTGGATTTTGACTCCATGACCATTTCAGGAGTAACCGTCGCAAAAGCGTCTTGGATGCGGTTCCTAAGCTGATCCTCTGTTTCGATGGGTACACTATAAATAAAGTTTTTAAGGTGTCCCCAAAGAAAAAAATCCAAGGGATTTAAATCGGGTGAACGAGCAGGCCAATTTTGTGGCCCACCTCGTCCTATCCATCGGCCAGGATACTGCCCGTCCAAGATTCGCCGAACGTCGCGACTAAAATGTGGTGGTGCCCCATCGTGTTGCAACCATTCATTTACTCGATATACCAGTGGCACGTCGCCTAACAAATTCTCTAAATTGTTTTCTAAGAAGTCTGCACTCCAAAAATTAATAGAAAATCGATGTTGGAACCCCCCTTGGAATATAGCATGCGGATTTTCATTTGCCCATACATGTAAATTATGGGCATTGAAGCATCCTTGTCTGGCAAAAATTGACTCATCCGAAAACATAATGTTAGAAACAAAATTTGGCTGGAGATTTTCTTGCTCCAGCAACCACAGAATTCGACTCTAGCGGGATAATCTTCCGGCTGAAGATGCTGCACTCGGGTAAAATGAAAAGGGTGTTGCCGATCGTTCTTCATAACCCGCTGAACTGTGGAGCGGGAAATATCCAGTTCTCGAGCAACTTCCCTTATGCTCTTCCTACTATTTTCCTCAAACGCATTCAAAACAGCTTCTTCATGATAAAGTTGTAATTGTTTTACAAACGCGGAGTTTCCGGACAGGCCATTGGCGATATCTTTAAGAAATAGAAGTCAAATGACTGTAGCCGTCATTCTCAATACTTTGGGGCTGGTGCTACAGAGCAACTCCATTTTTTTTTACCAACAACAAGCTTACTATGGCTATCGACAGGGTGCAGCTTCCAACAGGCCATGGAAGACAATCTCTAAAAGGAGCAACTTACAGCGAATTCTGCAGGAGAAAATACGGTATCGTAACTGTTAATAATCATGATTATTATTGTTTAGCCTATGCTTTAGCGTTGGGAATAGAATTATCCAGGGCTGCTAACGTGGATCTCTCAAATGGAGGGAGTCTTGAAGACATTAAATGTTTTCAAGATTATTAAAAAAAAGATTTTACGATTGTTGTGTACAATAATAGAAGGGGTAGTGAGACATATTTTAAGGGAAAGCCAAAAGACACACGTAAAACAATAAATTTAATTTTAAAAAATAACCATTATAATCTCATAATTATTTTAACATCTGCCTTTTCAACAAGTTATTTTTGCAAATTATGCCAAAAACGTTATGCTAGTAGAGATAAGCATGTTAAATGTCCTTTTATTTCCACCTTCTTAGTAAATGACACTTTATAGGTTAATTTTGTTGTTTTTGTATCCAAGTAAACGATACATTATGGGAACAGACCTGTAATATTTTACGGGCTTGTAGAAAAGTAATTTATTAAATGAAATGACACATCTGACACATTAATTGAAATTTTAAACTTGAAAATCTTTATCTAAAGGTGAAAATAAAAGTTTGTACGTATCACGCTTTGCAATGAATCTTTACTAAGCTCAATGGATTATGGGGTTTGCTCCTGCGTCGCTCACCCCACAAACTTCCAGCTCGCCCGTAAAGATTCATTTACAAAGCTTGACACGTAAATAACTAATACTTGCCCTAATTGTCATAGTTCACCCCCTTGTGTTTTCGACGCAGAGGAAATAACGTGTAAAGATTGTAAACGAACATTCAGAGGTATTACGTGTTTAAATATACACAAGGAGAAACTTTGTTCAAAACTGCATAGATGTTTGACATGTTTAAATAGCTATTGGACTAAGGATAAGCATAAATGCGGCGAAAAATACTGTCGTACGTGTTTATGCTTAAAAGATACTAGGCACGATTGTTACATGCAGCCAAATCGTATAAGTGATAAAGCTAAACAGTCCCTCGAGAACGATTTTTTGTTTGCCTTTTACGACTTTAAATGCATGCAAGAAAAAGAAGTGTCCAGTAATATATTTTTACATGAACCAAATTTGTTTGTAGTACAACAAGTATGCTCTGAGTGTATATCGAAAGATAATATAGATCTAGATTGCCGCAAATGTGGTAAGCGAAAGCATATTTTTTCAAAAGACCCTGTTGCCTCACTACTGAATTACCTACACGAATTCGAAAAGAAAAAATTTAATGTTTTTGCTGTGGCCCACAATATGAAATGGTATGATGGTTATTTTTTTATGACGAAGCATATTTTAAAACATGTAAATAGATGGAACCCTAAGATCATAAGAAATGGTTGCAAATTTGTCTCGATAACTTGTAATAATATTAAATTTATTGATAGTTTAAATTATATGCCACTACCTTTAAATAAACTTCCCAGTGCTTTTAAATTTGAAGAATTCAAAGGATATTTTCCTCATTTATTTAATAGAACCGAAAATAGTAATTATGTAGGTCCTTTACCTGATGCCTCTTTTTATATGCCAGATTCAATGACTTTAGATGCGCGTAGTAAATTTTTGAAATGGTATAATAAGGAAATATTAAATAATGAAATAATTAAATATTGTATCTTAGATGTTGATATTTTACGGAAATCGTGTATTAAATTCCGCGAATGTTTTATTGAAGCTACAAATATTGATCCTTTCCAAGAAGCGACTACAATAGCAAGCGTTTGTAGTAAAGTATTTAGGAGAAATTTTCTTCAACCTAATACCATAGGTATCATACCGCCTAAGGGTTATAGAATGGAAAATAATTTTTCCGAAATATCGCTTTAGTGCTGGCAAGAATCACTTTTTCCGGATATTAAACACGCGGGTAATGGACAGGAAATAAGACTTAAAGAGAATCTCTTAGTTGACGGTTTTTGTGCGACCACTAACACTGTATTTGAGTTTGATGGCTGCTATTTTCATGGTTGTGAGAAATGTTTTCCTCAGCAGACCACCTCTTTTCAAAATTCCACAGATAAAAATATGCTAATGTTTTTAAGACTCGAGAAGACTAAAGCCAAGCACAAAAAAATTAAAGATGCCGGGTATAATTTAAAAAATATTTGGGAGTGTGAATTTAAAAAGTTGTTAAAAGCTGATGAAACCATAAGAGCTTGTGCTAATAGTAACATTAAAAAATACGTAGAGGCACCATTAAACCCTCGCGAAAGCTTTTTCGGTGGTCGTACAAATGCAGTAAAGTTGTACCATAAAATATCAGATGAGAAGGAAAAAAGTTGTTACTTTGACGTGTGTAGTTTATATCCATTGATAAATAAATATAAAAATATCCCCTTGGCCGTCCTAAGACTCATGTTGGTGACGAAGCGTGCCGGAAATTGCCCATGGATACGATAGAAGGTATTATTAAATGCTCGGTTCTTCCACCTAGAAATTTATACCACCCAGTTCTACCGTATAAATGTAACAATAAACTAATGTTCCCCCTATGTAAAGCTTGTGTAGAGTCATTGCACCAGGGACAATGTCTGCATGCAGAGGGGGAGCGTAAGTTTACCGGTACCTTCGTAGCCGATGAATTAAGAAAAGCTATTTCTTTAAATTATAAAATCTTGTAAATTTACGAGGTATGGGAATATAAAGTTACTCAATTCAAACGTGAAACCAAGTCTGGAGGCCTATTCTCAAAATATGTCGACACTTTTTTAAAAATAAAGCAAGAGTGTAGTGGATGGCCCAGTTGGTGCACTACGGAAGAATCTAAAGATGCGTATATTCAAGCAAATTAATGTTAAATAGTTTTTGGGGTAAATTCGGGCAGAGAGAAAACTTAATGCAAACATCGGTAATTAGTGAACCCCTGGAACTATTTAACATATTAACTGACCCTTCTGTTATTGTTAACAATATGGTGATTATTAGTGATGAAATGCTTCTTGTCAGTTGGAAAAAACACGAAGAAGCAGTTTCATCATTATCAACTGTTAATGTCGCTATAGCAGCGTATTCCACGGCTATGGCTCGACTAGAACTTTACTCTTATTTAAAGAAACTAGGTAGACGAGTACTGTACTTTGATACAGATAGTGTTATATTCACGTATAGAGGGTGAATGGTTACCAGAAGTAGGCGATTATTTGGGTATGTTAACGGACGAAGTAATTAAATACGGCCCTGGTAGTAAAATTACGGAATTTGTAAGCGGAGGGCCTAAAAATTACGCCTACAAAATTTATATCGCGGATAAGCAAGAATTTGATACTGTATGCAAAGTAAAGGGTATAACTATTAATTCAAAAAGTTGTAAAAACGTTAATTTTGAAACATTAAAAGCCATGGTATGCAATAATGCGGAGCCGACATATATCCACAACACTCGTAAAATTTGTATAACGCCAAATTACGAAATAATATCGCGACCTGAATCAAAAATTTATAGAATCGGTTATAACCAGGGACTAGGATTAAATCACTGATTTTGAATAGCTCTTAACTCACTCGCGATCGAAACCTATTTCGATCTGCAAAGTATTACTCTCCAGATGAGTTAAATTATACCGCTCTCGTAGTGATTCGATACATTAAGGATTCAATCCCAAAAGTATCAAAACACTTCTACTCTTTTAAAGATTAAATACCTAAAAGATTTATATTCTAAATGATAACCATAGTTTAGCTACTTTTGAGATTTAATCATTTCAGAGTATTTATTTATATTTGCTCATTTAAGATTTAATCCTTTTCGGAACCCAGTGATTAAATCAGAGTAAAATTATCAGATGATATAATTAATTAAATACTGGTAATTTATTAATACTGGTTATTTAAAAGGGCTAAAAATTTATATTTATTAAATAAATATAAATTTTTTTTACACAGTGTTTATAGAAGCGGCACGGTGCACATCGCTCGCAATATTACCAAGTTTATATAGTGCTTTTTGTTTTAAAAAATGGATGAAAATGAAAATGATGGTGATGGGGGGAGGTTCGAACCTGTTAAGGATAGAAACAAACGAGGTAGAGATCCTGATAGCCCCGATATTGAATTAATAGGATTTGATAATAATGGAGAACCAAAACTTCAACCTCATAAAAAACGCGTGACGAAAGACCTCGGAAATAACAAAAACGAACCCACAAAAAACAACAACACTGCACACAATTCCAATCAAAACAAAAACCAACATCCACAAAAAAACATCAACTACAGTGACAACATGAACGCTATTTTGCACAAAAAATTTAAACTTATGCACTTTATCAGTCCTACCAATATTGATACGACTCGGTTATTCAAGGCTGATACATGGGAAATCGAATTCCCTAAAACGAAAGACGTCATAATCAAAACAAAACATGGATTTCTCCTCAAAACAGACACCGATAAGAAAATTATAGTAAAATCGTTGGAAAACCTGAAGACACACTCAATAATTAAAGATTTTAAGGAAACTGCACCGAACACAAGTCCATCCAGGCAGATCAGCGCCCCGTCGTTTTCTGTACTTATAAGCAGAGTAGAGACAGAAATAAGTGACAATGACATCAGCAATCATCTCAAAGAAGAAGAAAAACCACATCGATATTGCAAAAGAATTATTTCAAAAGCCACCAACAAACCCACCACACTTATAAGAATAATAACAGCTAGTGAAATAACATTTAAATCCCTGCTTCAAGATGGATTTTTCTACAAGAGCTGTCACTACCCAGTCTATCCTAGCACCCCACCCCCAGCTGCTCCCAAACCTTGCATCAAATGCAACTCATTTAACCATACTACTGAAAATTGCCAAGAAAAAACAACTTGCAACAAATGCTCTGGAGACCACGCAACTAACAAATGCACTACAAATCTTGAACCTAAATGTACTGCCTGTAATGCTATTGATAATCAAGCATGGTCATTTAAATGCCCCAAGCGACCAACAACTCCTATACCAGGCATTCCTAACATGCCAATTAAACCAATTAACCAAAAATCTAGAGAACTACCAGAGGAAATTAAAAAATCAAGGATTCACTCTTCAATTACCATCCACGATCACATAATAAACACATACATCAACACTCTAAACGATGAAAAAAACAATGAGGAAAAAAGGGAGGAACTTATTCAAAAACTAAGGAAAATGTTTGTAAATAACTTCAAGATTGACACCCAGGCAGTATTTTCTGGAACCCGAATGTATATCCTAATGTTTGACCTGGAAAAACCCAACTCCGAATCCCCCACAAAACCATCCACGGAGGAAAATATAACTCAATATGTCAGTTAAAATTCTATACAATAATATAAACAGCTACTCAAAACGAAAACTTAATATTGATAACTACATACAACAAAACAATATCCAGTGTACAATGTTAGTAGAAGCTAAGATCTCCCAGAACCTCAGTACCCAATATAGGGACTGGAACCAAGTATTACAAAAGGGAAATCAAATACACAACAAAACACGAGGAGGGAGTCTTGTACAAATGCATCCATCCATAAAATTAGGCAAGGCAAATGCCCCAAGAATAAACAACCCTTTGAATGAGGTAATACATTTTACTCTTCCATTCTTCAATGATCATCTGCATGTCTTTTTAGTATATATACACCCTCATTCCAGAATAGAGGAAACTATTTTTACAAAAGCTTCCCTGTACAAATACTCCTTGATTGTTGGAGATTTTAACGTAAACAGACAAAAAAAGAAACAATTATCAACATTTACAAATAATACCAACTTTGTACAACACTCTACAGCCCCCACCTTTCTCATGGCCAATAATACTGATAGTACACCAGATATCATCCTCTATTCTGAAAATTTAAAAAATAACATTGACAAAATAAGCCTTGTTCCTGATCTGTGTTCTGACCATCTGGGATTTCTTATAGAAATAAACAACATTACACAACATCCTTACCGCACCCCCGAAATATGGCTATTTGATAAAACCAATATAGAAATTGTCAACAGTAATATGGCCAACTTTTTAACATCCAAACCAAATATGGACAGGCTCCACATAGACAACTTTCTTGAAACTCTAAAAAATGCAGTTATGGAAAATACTCCCAAAAAAGAAATCAAATTTTACACCCAAAAATTACCACCCTTTATCCTAAAATTAATAAAAAGGAAACGAAAACTTTATAGAGAATACAAAAATCTGGGAGATCCGCTATTAAAAACAGAAATAAATACTTTTAACAAGAACATTCAAAAATTAATTCATCAATACCGACAACATAAATGGATAGAAGCTTGTGAAAAAATCCAAGAAAACTATGGAAGAACTTACTGGAAAGAAATTAGTAAACTAACTAAGTATAAGGGCACTTCGAACCAGTTTAATACACCCCTGGTGAACAACGGCAGAACATACGAAACAACTAACGAAAAACTTGAACTCTTTGCAGACTATTTAGAAGACACCTATAAAGAAAGTATTGATGCAAATTTCTGTGTAGCCCACTATAATGAGGTCTCGCAATGGTATGCCAACTTCAAAGAAGAAGACCTTGCTTTGACAGCTGAAAGCGTTACGGAGGAGGAATATTTTAATATCCTTTATAAAGGAAAAAACACAGCTCCAGGCTACGACTAAGACAACTAGACTACGAAACACACTTGGAAATTCTGAGAATATATAATTATTGCTTTAACAACCAATATTTTCCAGAAAAGTGGAAAACTGGCATTATTATAAACATTCCAAAACCCAACACCGATAAATCCCAAGTAAAAAACTACAGACCTATAACTCTCCTGACAAACTTGGCCAAAAATTTCGAAAACATTTTATGCAACAGAATTACAGAAGCAATAGGACACACGATTCCTCGCTATCAGTTTGGGTTTCAGAAGAATAAGTCAACCATTCATCCTCTGACAATACTTATTAATAATATACAAACTTTACGTTTGATGGGAAGAAAAACCACGGCACTGTTCCTAGACATCAGCAAGGCATTTGATAGCGTCTGGCATAAAGGGTTATTATACAAACTGCACCAGCTAAATTGCCCAAACAACATCCTAAAAATACTTATGAAATTTTTAGATAACCGGAGTCTGCAGGTATCAATAAACAATAAAACCTCAAGAAACTTTATAGCCAAACAAGGACTGCCCCAGGGTTTCCCTCTCTCCCCTCTGCTCTATAACCTTTATTGTGCCGACATCTACAATGAAGATCCCATGCTCTTTGACCAAGATAAATATGTACTTCAATACGCAGATGACACCGCTATAATTTGCCATAGTAAAAATCAAAAAACTGCCTCTGACCAACTCCAAGTTCTGTCAAATCAAATCTTGGCATGGTTTAACAAATGGAGACTAAAACCAAATCCACTAAAGTCTCAACTAATACACTTCCACCAAAACAAGATTAACC